ATCTGTTGTCAGAGAGTGAAAGTGCGCTTTCATCCAGAGCATCTCTCACATGTTCCGCCATGTGCTTCTTGTCCGCACTTGTTTACGTCAGAGTGCGCAGGCATCTTTCACGCAGCATACAGCGGTGTTGTGCATTTTGACCAGTTGATGGGAAAAGTATTTTTAAAATGCATTCAAAATTCGGAATAATTTGTAATATATAATTATTCACGGTATTTAGAAGTGCCCACGATAACAATACCGTGCATATTCATTACCGTGATATATCGCATTCCCGAATACCGGCACAATTCTATCTCAAACTGACCAATCAGAATAAAGATCCTTGAAATACATGGCAAAACTGTAATTTATTCCCATTTTTCATGGTGTGTAAGAATGCAAGTGTGTGTGTGTGTGTGTGTGTGTGTGTGTACAGTGGCCAATTAGAGCAGCCCAAACAGCTGTGAATAAACTCACACACAGTTTCACTCTGGAAGACTTTCAATTACACTGGCCAGTGCTTACACAAACATACACTTACACGCACGGTCATCTGGGAGCTCAAACCATGAGCCATACTGGAGTGCATCAAACTCTCCTCCCTTATTCCTCTCTCAACACACACACATTGTCCAGATTGAGAATAATGGGTGCTCATGTGTTGAGAGATGCTGCCAGTGTGTGTGTGTGTGTGTGTGTGTGTGTGTGTGTGTGTGTGTGTGTGTGTGTGTCTGTGTGTGTGTATGCATGTGTGTATGTGGAGACACTAAGGTCAGGCTGGTTAATGAAGCAGTCTGTTAGTGCTAACGATGATTACCTATCCCCGCCTAAACATTCATTCCCCGTAATCAGCACACACACACACACACACACACACACAACATGGTTCAGGTAGAAGTTTCAGAAATTAGAGACTTGAACCAGTAATCCCCATGGAGCAGGTCAGTGACATTTTGGAAGGTTAGAGATTTGAGTGGTTAAAGATTTGAGCTACTAACCAAACTGGTCATTTCAACAGAGCAAGGCAGTTTTCCAATATCAGTCTCCTTTAAACATCTGATCCTTCGGTCACAGAAATGATTCTGCTAAATCACAGAGTAAGACATCTGTGTCCCCACTTCTTTATCATTTAAAGACGTAGCTGTTCTTTCTTGCTCTGTTAGCTGCTCGTCTGCGCTCCCTGCTAGTGAATGTAGATCAGCGTCTTTCATCATTCATTGGCTCTGGGTACTGCTGGCAGCGATCAGCAGACTTGTCACTGAAGTGTGTGTATGATTGACTCCGGGCACATTAACTGAAGATCAGTAAACACAATCGAGAGAACAGAGCAAAATACTATAGATATAGCATTGGATGCATCCAAAATGAAGTTTAGTAGATTTAACAAAAAAAATCTTTAGCAAAAAGATATCATGATAATTCTGCCAGATCCTCCAAACACACATGTGCACACCAAGTATAAATAAAATGTAAAAATAAACAAAATAGCACAAATAAAATATAACATGCTTTCAGGGATGTCTCCAAAATGAGGTATGTCAGATTTAACAAACTTCTAGAGAAGTAGCTTTTTTTTTCTTAAAACTTTCATCCTCAAAGTATGGCTATATTAGATGAAACTTAGATGAAAAAATTAGATTAGAAACACAGAGTTTAAGTGGAGAGGCTGTTCTTTAAAGGTCACACAAGCACTTAGGCAGCAAGAATAGTCAGAAACCATCTCCTTGTTTCTCTCTTTTGCCACTGTACCTTCAGGTCGAAGACAATCTAGAAGCTTCCCACCTTCTTAACACACACACACCTGTCCGTGTGATTAACTGTATGACTGACAATTTGAAGCACAGAACAGAAAGCTGTAAATTACTGAAATGATCCAACTGTGTTTGACGTTAACCCTTCAGAAGGAGAGAGCAGAACAAAATAAAGGGGGAAAAATAACTAATAATAATAGTAAAATGATTTTAAGTATGTCAGAGGAGCCTGTAGTTCATTTTTTACCACTGAACTAAAGACCCAGATTGTGTGAACAGCTGTTACAGCACAAAAACCTTGTAAAGAAGCGCTAATTAAAGACGTGTTGAAACTTGCCTTCACTGTCTGTTCAAATAAAGCAAGCAAGCAATGAGGAAAATTTTCAGATAGCATGATTCTCAATTTTAACCAATTAAAACCAGTTTTTATATTTTTCAATTCACAAATTGTAAAAAGCACAGAGAATCATCTCTTTGCGTGTACAGAAACTTCTTGTTGGACAGGTACATATGCACAAGCCGTCTTCTCTGCCACTTGCAGGGATCCGGGTCATTAGAACCATGTGGGTCAAGCAGAAGTCAATGAGCAAAGGGACATGGAAATATACAGGCATAGATCAAGTTTGTTGATTAAAGCCACATACAGAGTCAAATCTCCCTCGTTTTGTCGGCCTCATTTCATTTGCCATATATGATGATGATGATAACTACAGAAGTCACTAGAGAGAAACTGAAGAAGTGATGACTTTTACTGAAATTTCTAACTAAGCCTGATATATTTATATTTTAAGAGGGTTTGCGCAAGGAAATGGACATGAGAGGTCAGTAATCAGTGAAATGCTGCAAAAATCAGAACTGAGAAGAGTCCATTTACAACAGAACAGGAAGGTGATATGGAGAAAAAGTGAACTGTTACTTACATAAAGCATGTGCAAAATCACATCATCCAAATAGAAAATAAAAACAGATAAATAACACATTTTAGTGTGGGTTCAGGTTATGAGTAGAGAGAGTTATGAATTCTTTCCTCAGATTGCCTTTAGCTGAGCTGCATTAGAGGATCAGAGGTCACCACAGACACAGAAATGAAACCTCACCCGCAAAATTCACTATAATTAAAACCTTTCCAGAGTCACAGGGTCACAGACATATTGAAGCTATCTGAAATGTCTCCCTAGGCAGAAGATCCCATGAGAGAGTGTGTTGTATCCGCAGATTCACCATGATTAATTTGATCATAACATTTGAGGTCAGTAAGATTTTTTATTTTTTTTTAAACTGAATACTTTTATTTACCAAGGATGCATTAAATGAATCAAAATTTATAGTAAAAACATCTATTATGTTATAAAAGAGCTTTATATATATATTTTTGTCAATATCAAAATATCAAGCAGCACAACTGTTTTCAGCACTGAAGACTGAAAATTCAGCTTTGCCATCACAGGAATAAATGTGACCCTGGAACACAAAACCAGTCATAAGTCACACGGGTATATTTGTAGCAATAGCCAACAATACATTGTATGGGTCAAAATTATAGATTTTTCTTTTATGCCAAAAATCATTAGGATATTAATTAAAGATCATGCTCCATGAGGATATTTTGTAAATTTCCTACCATAAATATATCAAAACTTAATTTTTGATTAGTAATATGCAATGCTAAGGACTTCATTTGGACAACTTTAAAGGCGACTTTCTCAATATTTCGATTTTTTGCACCCTCAGATACCAGAATTTTCAAATAGTTGTACAACTATTGTCCTATCCGAACAAACCATACATCAATGGAAAGCTTATTTATTCAGCTTTCAGATGACATATAAATCATCTTGATTAAAAATGATTAAAAAATGGACCCTTATGACTGGTTTTGTGGTCCATGTAATATTATAATTTTAAATATATTAAAATGTTAAATATTTATAAAAATATTACTGTTTTACTGTATTTTGATCAAATAAATGCAGCCTTGGTGAGCATAAGAGACTTCTTTCAAAAACATTCAAAAAATCTTACAGACACCAAACTTTTGAATGCTAGTGTAACTCACACAAAGAAAACCCTGTCATCACACTACCCTCTCGTCATTTCAAACCCTTTCTTTCTTCTGTGATACACAAAAGGAGATGATCAGTAAATTACGACTTCAATTTAAGTGTGATCTTCAAACAAAACTATTGTACGGCTTCAGAAGAATATAAAGCACAGGTTTTATTGGCTACTTTTATGGTGATTTTTGGAGTTCAGCCTCTGGTCGCTGTGATGTGTGTCAATTTTGCCATTTTCTTTCTTCTGGAACAACAAGAATGAGTAAACAATAGCAGGACTTTCATTTATGGGTGAACTAATCTTTTAATTTCTCTGTTCATTAGAGACATTCACATAGCAGACAAATGAAGCATAAATTAATGAAAAATATTAGGTTACTTAAGGCCAGATACAGTTTCTGAGCTGCGTGTGTGTGTGTGTGTGTGTGTGTGTGTGAGGTCCTTCTCAGCCTGAATTGTCTGATATTACAAGAAAGAGCTTTGTTTACTCAGGATATTTAAGCAAAAAAAGCTTACACATACAAACACCAAAGCACACACACGCGTGTTTGTTCAAGTGTGGGAAATAAGAGGCTTTAGACAAAAATCCTCCTAATCTGGATCAAGATGTTAATTCATCCACTCTGGCTTAACACTCTCTTTCCTGACACACACACACAGGACAGAGGAAGAGGAAAAACAAGGACATAACTCTTTGTCTTTTAAGAGGACAGCCTGTGGGTGGAAGTCGTCTCAGGAGAGGCTCTGAGTTTATGTACCGAAGTACATGAGCGATCAAAGCATAAAAGGTAGAGGAAAAAAAATTCTGCACAATCAGCACATACTCACTCTGAGACACTCACAATGAAGACAATTAGATTTCAGTTCTGTCAGAGCTGTTCAGACTGCCAGAGTTCAAATTCTAAAGACATAAAAACGCTAACTTTTAGCTGTAGCTAAAAAATATAGAAACTCTTTGTGGTCATTTTTGAGCGAGATGCTAACAGTCTAATCAGATTCAATGATCTATGCTAAGCTACAGCTAAAAGTGCTACCGCCATACCCGGAGATCGGCTGAATGGATTCGAAAATGGTAAAACTCAACTGTTTAACTCTAGGGGAGTTGGAAAATGAGCCTATTTTCAAAAATAGTGGAGTGTTCCTTTAAGAATCTCCATAGGATTCAATAGGCCCCTCTAGTGGCTGTAATCATAAAATGCAATTTTATGTCATTTTTCCCTGCCAGATGGCATCAGAGACACTCAGTGACCTAGGTCCTGATGGATCATCATGTTTAAAGTATAAATATGCAGAAATGGTCTTTATTTGTTTTTTGTTGAAAATTTTTTATAAAAATATGCTCATTTTCATAAAAATATCCAGAATTTAATGTGAATAAAATAAAAAAAATCACCAAAAAAAAACTACATAATTTTGAAAAAATATTTATAAAAATGGCCCAATATAAGCTTTCTGGACCAAAAATAAAATTAGTGTCATTTTTGGCCTTCGGGTCATTTTGACCCACGAGGGACACTTTTGTTATAGGTTCGGGAGGGACGGATGAGGGTTAAAAACACCTAAAGCACAAAAGGCAGATCATTTTCTTTTCAGAAGCACTGTTAAGAGCACAAGACAATTTGACTCTTGAAATTCATTGCTCTTTCAGTTGAGGATATGCTGTCAATCACAGGTTGGTCATAGTTCTCTGAGATTTCTACAAAAACACATGGGTGAGACAGATACCGCTGGGTATCACGGGAGCACTGGCCTGTTTCAGGATCAGTATCAGAGGCAGTACGAGATCACCACACAGACATACTCCATTTACAGTGGGTTGAAGCCTAAATATCGCACAAACATCTGTCTAACGCTGCAGTTTTGAGTGTATTCCTGTAGTCCCTGTGGACACACAGGCATCCAAGTGTTCAGCTCCTCTAAATGTCAGAGAGGGGGACATCATCTCATGGCTGTCTGAAAACCCTGTCACATGAAGAGCCAGGAGAATTCAGACTGTCCACAGGAACATCTATCTATCTTTTTTTTTTTTTTTTAATGTTTTAGAAGGAAGTCTCTTTTGCTCACTAAAGCTGCAGTAAAAAACAAAAAAATCAAAAATAGAGTAAAAACAGTATGAAATTTTTATTACAATTTAAAATAACTATTCTCTTTTTTTAATATATTTTAAAATGTAATTTATTATTGTGATGGTAAAGCTGAATTTTCTGTCTTCAGTGTCACATAATCCTTCAGAAATGATTCCAATATGCTGATTTGCTTCTTATTTGATCAATGTTGAAAAATGTCATGCTGCTTAAATTTTAGAAGGTTAGAAGGAATAGAAGGTTTGAAAGAACAGCACTTATCTGAAACAGAAAATCTTTGTAACATTGCCTTTACGGTCACTATTGATCCATTGTATGCATCCTTGATGAATAGAAATAGTTATTTCCACAAACTTTTGAATGATAGATTAAGGCCTGTCTATATTAAATAATAAGCAGCTACTAAAGAGGAAAGAATTTCTCATACTTTATATCATCACAAAAGACAACAACACACGAATTCACAAGAATATCAAGTAAAATAAGCACACTCATTCACTCTCACACTCATCAACACTTTCTAATGAAAATAAATGCCTCTTTCTTTTCAGGGGAAGATGTTTTTATTATACCTACGTATTGTATTGCACTTACTCTAGGCAAATGTATGTCTAACATATACACACAGACTGAAAGCAGATGTGGTATTATATGGGCCACGAAATGTAAAATTATGAAAATGTGCACCTGTAACTAAATCAGACCGCTGATTTCAGTGGAACATAAATATGACAAATACAAAAACTCCAAAAGAATGAGGACATCCTTGCACATTCACATTTATATTTTATTTTTTTAGACCGTAGACAGAAGACAAAAAAATTCTGAGAAGTGAAATCTGCATCTAGATCCTGTATGTTGGCGTTTTTAAACAGAGTCTGCGAGTCATTTTGTGGTAGCTGGGGCAGTGAACATCTGCTAATGGTCATTAAATCCATTTGGCTGAAGTTATTACGCATTCATGTCACTAAATGAAGCAATACACTCAGACGCCACACAAACGGAAACAGTCATCTGCCTTTTTTTTTAATTACCGGCCTGCTATTTAGAAAATCTCAATGCACACTAAACATCTGCCATGATATTAGAAACACATTTCCTGTCTCTGACCCCACCATCGTTGTATCCTCTGAAAACAATTCTCTGTTTCCTCTGAACGGAAGAACATAAGCACCCTGAGGTGGCAGCAGTCGCTCTCTCTCTCATGCTCGTGTTTGTGGAGGGAGTCATTCTGAGCGATGGCCAGCTGTGTCTCTGTGTGATGTTCAGAGCTGCACTTGAGTGAACTCTCTAGTACACACTTGTGTATGTTTTCTTCTCTGTCCAAGCACACACCTGCTTGAAGTACATCAGTGTTTGTGCTTAATAACGGCTGCTCCACTTCTGTCCCTCCATTACAATGTACAACCAGTATTAAAACCAAAAAGTGCAGACTAATTGTCAGAACAGACAGAATAGATTTAAAGGGTCTATATAGAGAATTCAGAAAACATGGCTGTTAATTTCACTGCAGCTGACAACTGATTTGCTCGTGTTCGCACTCATGCTCACATAACATGTAAGTGTTGGATTTGTTCTTACAAACAAGCAGCTTTTCACTTCACAAAATGTTAATTAGACTGGAGTCATGTGAATTAATTGTTGACTATTGTGATGTTTTTATCAGCTGTTTGGACTATTCTGATGGCACCCATTTACTGCAGAGGTGAGGTGAGCAAGTAATGTAATGCTTAATTTTTCCAAATCTGTTCCGATTAATAAACAAACTCGTGTATAATTTGGATGGTCTGAGCGTAATTACATTTTCAGAAAATTGTAATTTTTGGGTCAAATATTTCTTTAATTTGATGTGAATGAGAAAGAGTAGGGCCCTATGAGTTTCGTGATGCGGAAAACGTGGGCAGAATTGCGGAATCCAGTCATAAAAACGGAATTTACTGTATAATGCGGAATGTCACAGAATTTGCCAAATTTGAGATGGATACATAAAAAAATTAAATAAAAATAAATGAGTATTTTTTTTAAATAAAATAAATTAATTAGAGATGCTTTTGATTATTAATATTTAATGAAACCATTAAAATGGAATCCAGAAAAGTAATGGAAAAGAGAATTTGTTAAAAAATAAAACTGGATTTGAGAAAAAAATAAAACATATTTCATAGGGTCTTAACAAAATTAAATTTTTGTTATTTTTAATACATTTCTGCTTAATATTTGAATTGTCATTATTTCAATTAATTAGACAGGCTTTTTGGTTCATAAAATTTAATTTAACCATTGAAAGAGTCTAGGAAAATTAACAGAATCCAGAAAAATGTAAACAGAAAAAAAAAAACGGTATTTGGAAAAAAAATAAAATGGAATTTTGTGGAAAGAAATGGATTTCATAGGGCTTTAAAAGAGGCTGTAAAGAGCAGAAGTAAAAAATGTGCACTGTTTTTCACTGTGTTGTCACTTGTTTAGCCAATGAAACACTGAAAACTTCTCTCTGCAGAGTTTTCCCTGAAAGAGGTAAGAAAACTGTGAAATCACCACCTGTTTCCTCCTTTCGGCTTTTAACCAACTGCCACAATTACCCAAAACACACACACACACACACACACACACACACACACACACACACACACACACCCACCACCACACACACACACACACACACAATTAGAAACATACACAAATTCACCCTGAGCACTGAAACACATAAACCACATCCATGCAGAGACAACTGAACTTAAACATACACACATGGCATTTAAGTCCACTAAGAAATTCCAAACATGTCCAGTTGAGACATGTGAATTGCCTGACCGCTGTCTCTCTCTAAGGCCTAAAGGACCGGGGTTCCCATTTGTGGGAGTCTCAGTGACACAGGGATAATGGCAGTGTACAGCGGATTGCCAGTTTATTTAATAAACATAAAAATCCACCTGAAAAAGAAAGCCTGAAAGAGAGCCTTTTCGCAGCCTGTGGGAAAGGGAGAGAGCTGGGAGAAGAGAAAGAGAGGGGCTCTGATTTCAGATGACATATTCAATCACACTGATTTGTTTGTGCTCTTAAAATCTTCCACGAGAAGCTAAGAAGAGGAGCCATGAGAAGCTAAAAAAGCTTGTCTCATATAATCAAGTCAATCAAGTCCTGCTCAGCTATGATGACTGCAGCCGTTGTGGCGAATACTTGCACTCCGATTCATTTTTATTTATACAAGCAGATAGGTAATAGTAACAGCCGGCAGTCTTTCATTCAGAGTTGAAATTTCCATAACTATGGCAACAAAATCCATATAAAAATACAGTCCAACTCCACCCTTATGTCTAACCACAACAATCTAGCCATACCCACAATGCCAAACCCCACCCACTCCCAGCCCAAACTCCACCCCCAACTTCACTCATCTCATCCCAGCCACACCCATTATAGCCCCACCCCCAGGCAGGTGCTAATCAATGTCAGCTACTTGGCAGTAAATGTTTGGATATAAATACTTCATTCACTCTGTAAGTTTCAACATCACTGAAAACACCAACAACAGTTTCCTGAATCAACCACACCGCCTTCACACATCTGTGCCCTCATTTCCAGCACTGCACTGTAACGAATACATCCGGAGCAGACACGAGTGAGTCTGTGCTCACCTAGGCATGGAAATCTGAAGATGTTCATACTGGAATATCAGTAGGGAGTAATGTTCTGGTCTTACCTTTCCGAACTGTTCAAAATACTGTTTCACATCTTCAACGACTGTGCTCGCTGATAATCCACCCACAAATATTTTCTTTGTTCTTGTGACCATCTGGTGAGAAAGAGAGAAGAAAAAGAGAGAAAAACATGAGCAAACCAAAACACGTTCAGACCAAGCGGACACCTAGATTACAGAGAATGATCTATTCAGATGATGATGTTCATTAGTTTAAATATGTAAAAAAAAAAAAGTACTAATACAGAGGAGTGGAAAGAGACAAATCATTTATTTGCCTAAATTTCAGTAACAAACATTAAAGGGGTCATATGATGCGATTTCAATTTTTCCTTTCTCTTTGGAAAATACCAAGTAATAGATCAAGAAATAGAGACTTTTTTTACCAGATGGTGAGAATGAGAAAAATAAACAAATATAGTAAAGAGAAATGTGTATTACCATTTTCTGCACCACTATTTTTTTTTTTTAGCAGAGTTGTGAGCTTATGAACTGTAAGTGACAAGTTTGTTTGTGTTTGACGCCATTCCAGCTTCTGTGGCTATTTTCATGGCGAGAAATAGAGAAATATTATCTGTAAGTGACAAGAGTGAAAAAATGACTGCTGAAAAAAATAGCCCTTTATTTTACAAATTGTGCATACTCTAAAATAAAGTGCAGAATAGAATGCCAACAAAAGTCCAACTGTCAGTTTACACAGATTCACAATTAAAACAGTGAAGACAAAATACCAGAACCTTCTATTCCGGGCTTTTGACTATCACATCATCTTGATTTGTGGCCTTTTTTCAGTATACTTTCATGTTTTAAGGTCAAGTTGAGGTCAAAGGACTGACCTCAGGATGACACATTTGTTTTTGAAGATCATCTTCCTCTGTATGAAAGCTTTAAAAGAGGCACAGTGCTGATTCCAGTCTCTCTAGATGCACCTTCCCAAGATTTCACAGCTAATAATGCTGTTACAAATCACTTTTCACTGATGCCACACACACGTGTTTGGCACCATTAGCGCGGCCTTCCATTCAGTTAAACCTCTGACATGTTTACTTCTGCTCTGACACACATCCAGATGCTTTTCAGCTCCAGTCACACTTAAAAACAGTAACAGAGAAAAAAATCCTTCCTTTTCCCCTCAAAACTCAATTAAGGGATAGAGGGAAGGGACCAGGGAAACCTTGATTAATTCCCAAGCCGGGTAAGCACAAAAGATTTCTACAGCACACAAGGAGAGGTGACAGGAGGATGAGCTAAAGTGCACCCGAAGAGAGAGAACGAGAAAGGCAGGAAGAATCTAAACACATGCACCTTTAGGAAATTTAATAGCCAAATAAAAAGTGCAT